ATTAAACATGCAGCTTGATTTCAAAATTATAAAGCTACAAAAAAATGACACTAGGTTATAAATAATAATAATTGATTAAAATTTGATTTTAATAAACATATTTTTTATTTAAAAACTTATTAAAAAACTGTAGATGTTTACCAATATCACTGATATTTTGAGGCAATATTAATTAGTCGCAAACGCTTATGACTATCATACAATTCCTTAAAGTCCTTCGATAAAACCATATATTCAATACGATACAAATAATATTTTCAATATAATTTTAAAAAATAAACGTAAATCTTAAATTTTAAAAATTTCCTTTTTTTAATTTTATTTTATTTAATTTTTTTTTTAATTACTTACTGACACTATTTTGCATAAACTCAAAAATTGAACCAAACTTTACCCTACGTTACATTTGCTGTCTATTATTTATTTTTTTTTTTGTTTGTGAATTTGAATGAATGCCAAAATAATTTGCATAAAAGCTACATAAACCCTTACCCAAATTATTAGTTAAAATATACACAAAAAAATTGAAAAACAAGTTAAAAGTCCCTACACGTAACAGCTGAAAGGTAGTCATGGAAATTCGTCTTTGAAACCGTTAAACTCAAGCCAGAATTTGAAGCATTACAATTTTAAAACAAAATATTCAGCTATCCCAAGGTATCAAAAAGAAAAAAAAAATAAAAAAGTTAATATTCAAAAATTTTTCGAACTCAGTATTTTTATCTCCTGGGACTATGAGTACATTTCGCACATAAATCAAAGCAGCATATAAAAGGAACCAGCTTATAATTTGCCAATATTCACAAATATGTCCCTGGTCACCAATCACAGGCACTGTCGCTGGCACGTCAGTTAATCTTTATAGGGAAAAAAATTAAACGATTTTTCAGATATATTTTAAAATATTTTCATACAACACTTAAACAATAAACTCAGATATAAAATTTCTAACACATGCTGTCATTTATTGAGTTAGCTTTAAGTTAAACATCTCAATGAAATAAAGAGCAAGAAGCACACGTCTTGGCCTTTATGCAAAACACTACACAATGTTATGCAAACCAGAAAATGGTCCAGAAAAAATGTTATAATATTATAAATTTAGGATTTAAGAAAACAAAAAGTCCTTAAACTCTTATATGTATAATGGCATAGGGTATACTAGTTGGCTGGTCCAAAACTGACAAAACTGACAAAACAAAAAGCTGCCGAAAAGAAAACTTCATAAAGTAATAATGTAAGCTCACATAAATGCTGTCTTTACGGTTGTATATATACATATGTGTAAACATGTATGAACATGTATGAACATGCATAAAAAAAATATAAATAAGAGGCAGGCAACATGCAAAGTCAGAGGCTTTAGAATTTATGCCATGAATGTTTATAGGGAAAAAGTGGCTTCATAAGGACGTGAGTACGACGAAGCCCTGCGTACAGGCACAGATTGCAACTGACAACCTTGTTGATGTGTTCAATATTTTAACATTGTTTTGTTCTTTTTTTTCTTCAAGTTATTGTTAAAGGCATTTTTTTATTTTTTTTATTATTTATTTTTTTTTTTTGTAGATTTTTGTAGTAATAGTTTAAAAGTTTGTCTGAATTTTTTTTTCCAAAAACTGTTAGGAAATGACTGTATAAAGTAAATGAAATATTGAAAGTCTCTTACGTCGATATTAAGTTGAACAGAATAAAAAAAGTTTAATATTCTTAAGCTAAGACTTTTTTGATATACAGAAGAGTAAAATACTGAACAATATTCCAAGTAACTTTAAAATTTTGGATAGAACATAAATTTATTAAAAGGACATTCAATCAACAACGATAAGGATTCTTCTCAAGCGATGAAAAGTGTTTTATTAGCTGTACAATGCAGCAGTAGTTTATGTCATAGACAAAGCATAGTCATAAAATAGTGATTACGGAAAATGTAAAAACTTTGACTTAAATATGGTTTTAATCAGTGAAATTATAGATTTAAAAATTAATTTTATTATAGAGAGGTACGTGATTGCCAAGTCCAGATCGGCAATCACAAATAGTAGATTGGGACGTACTAAAATACTGTACTATAGAATTTCATTATTTCGAAAAAAAACTGATATCCGGAATTGAATTTTGCTAATTTCTTTATTAAAGTGCTGGCTGAAACTGAAAGGGCGAGGTTTTTCACATTATAAAATCTAACAATTTTACTAAATATACAGAAAGCGTAAGACATTATATTTATACTCTCAATACTTTATAATATACATACAAATCGGAAATGGTTTTCTTTAATGGTAAATGAGCAACTATGTATCAAACTACTACCGTAACTTAAGAATTTTTCAAATATTTAATTTTCAGTAATAACTCTTTTATATCACATTCATTTGATTTAAGGTTAAAAAGAACGAGAACATCTTATTTCAAAGCATTGCATATTTTCCAATACTTCTCATTCCTTTTGGTTTAATCACAGACTATCGTTTAATTGCTTGCAGAGGCTCACTTTTTTCCTCAGGTCTAGGAGCTTTGAGTTTAGCATTTTTTATAATTGTAGTCTATTTTTAAAACACACACGAGCAATCCATTCTAATTTTTCCATGTGGAAAGTTCCGTCAACTTTGTCGTTGTTTTCGAGCTCCAATAACTCTGTCTAAATTTGTATAATATTAAATCAACAATTTTAACTCTTTTATTTATTTATTTATTTATTACGAAGTTAGGGACGTTAAACACTTTCATCTAATGTTTTAAATCTCTTTATTAATATTTTGTATCAGATCATTTTTAAACTTTTGCTTCACGCTTGCTTTCAGATTTGCATTTGGCTATTAATCTGTCCTATTTTAATTTCTTCAACTTTTATTTCTTCTCTAAGATTTACTTTCCTGTTTATAATACACAAAAAAACGGAACACATATTTCTGTGATCGTGATATATCGTTATATTCTTTATTTGCCTTTGTTTGTGTCAGCATTAATTATTTATAATTGTTACTTTTTGCATTCTCTTGCTTATAATATTAAACTATCTTTTTATATTTTGATCTATGTTTTCCTATTTTTCTTACTAATAGTATTCAACTATCCTTTTTTAGATTTCGATCAATTTTAACCCTCTATTCATTTCATCCTCTTTTTCCTTCTCTGTTTCTACCTCTCACTCTTTTTTATCTTTATTTTCATTCACCTCTCCCTATTTTCTTCTCCATACATATTCTATTTTGCTCCCGTTTTCTGTTTTTCCTCTCTCTTTTTGCTCTCTATCATTATATTTCTGTCTTTCTCTCAGCTCATTTTTTTTTATGTCTTATTGTTTTCTCTGATTCTTTTTCTCTCTTTCTGTCTGTCTCACTACCTCTTTCTCTCACACTCGCTTTCTTTTTCATTGTGTCTCTATTTCTCCCTCTGTCTTTCCTCTATTTTTTCTCTCTTTCCCTTTCCCTTCTCTTTTTCTTTTTCTCTTTTTTTCTCTCTTTTTCTTTCTTTCTGTCTTTATTTTCTCTCCTTCTCTCTTTCTCTATCTCTTTTTTTCTGACTCTCTCTTTCTCTACCTTTTTCTTGCTCTCCCTCTTTCTCTCTCTCTCTCTTTTCTTCTCTCTCTCTTTTCTTCTCTCTCTCTTTTCTTCTCTCTCTTTACTTCTCCCTCTCTCTTTACTTCTCCCTCTCTCTTTCCTTCTCTCTTTTTTCTCTTTTCATCTCCCTCTCTCTTTCTTTCTTCCTCCCTCTCTTTCTTTCTCCCTCTCTCCTTCTTTTTCTCTCTCTTTCTTTCTCCCTCTTTTTCTTTTTCTTTCTCTTTTTCTCTTTCTCTTTCTCTCTCTCTCACCCGTAGCTCGTTATTTTTTTAGACACTTCTGTCGTTGTAATCGCTTTATTTCGATTTGTATTTATTAGATATATATATGTTTTTCGGAAATTTTCATTAAAACTAAAGTGGTTGTGTGAATTGCATACGTTCGCTTATACAGTGTATTCACAGAAAACATATCCACCGATGTATCTACGCATCTTAACAACTTTTTTTATTTTTTTATCAACTTTTTTTTATTTGCAGAATTTCAAATTTTACCAAAAAAATAACAATAATCGTAAGAGCTAAAATTTAAATAATAACATCATAGTTCTATATATAGTAAAAGTTCTAAAATTGATTTTTATTGCAAATAAATTTTAAATCTTTTAAAATTGTTAATACATAAAACTTTATTGCAAATTTTTACACATTCTACTAAACTTACATGTGTACTATATTGCACGTTACTTTTTCATGGCCCTGACTATGCACAAGTTAACTGAATATTACCTACCTCAACGTGCTATTTATTACTTCACCTATTAGTAGTCGTATAGCTTTACTGCTTTTTATAACGAGAGTAGACGTAAATCGCCAGTAACCAGTAAAGAACTTAAAAAAAGTAGCAACTGGTGAAAATGCAGTAAAATTACAAATATTTAGTAAAAAAATGTTAACGAAATGGTAGTTTGCAGGTGCTTAAAATCAACGGGGTGTAAAGCAGAAAATCTACGATTTTCCAGAATTTAATTTTTACTTGGTTAAAAAAAATAAAATATTAAAGAAAATCACTGACTTCTTTTTTAACGTAATAAAATACAAAAAGGAGACTAGGTTTCAGAGCAAGTAGTCACATTACAGCCTTTATAACTTTGAATGTGGCCATATATTCAATATATAATTCAATATAGAACCATAACTGAAAAGTCGAGAAGATATTAAACATGACGGCTCCTAATAATGTTTAAAAAACATTAATGAAATTGTGTTTACTAAGAAGAATTAGCAATAGCGATGGTTTTAAAAGAAGGAATAGGATGCGTCTCGGATGAACCGATTTTTACATGAATTTCAGTTATTTACATTTTTAGTTAAACCAACAAATGTACATATAATAATAAGAATCGTATAAGAAAGGGAATCACAGATTTGAAAACACTCCACATTTACTTTTGCGCCTAAAAACACTTACGGAAATGCAAACGATTATTTCACTTACCTTTTATTATGCAAAACTGTTTGTGCCTTATGTTTATTTGTTTTCGTATCTGAAAAGATAAGATAATAAAAAAATATTTATATAATTAGCTATATTTGTTTACTGATTAATTTCTAATTGGTGCATAAGGTATACTGGCAAATATTTGCCTATAAATATTTCGTAATTGTGAATAAATAATAATCTTGAAATTGAGTAATTTAAGGAAATAATCCATCCTTATATATATTAATTACTCATAAATATAAATTAATTAATTAAAAACAGCAACAAATAAATTTTTATAATAATAATAGTAAGAAATATGGGTTTGCAATACTAATTTAATACGTACTATCGCATACATCTACAACTTATGTTCTGTTTTAATGACTAACGATTTTGGACTTTTTTGTGTGTCAATTATTTTTGGATTAAATATGTAACAAAAACTAATTACTTTATACAACAATTTCTTTGACCTTTTCATTTTTTTTTCTATCTTCAGGACTAATGCTCGAAATTTTTTACTCATTTTGCAATAATTGTTTCGAACAGAAATTTTTATTCGTCCTAACAATCACCATCGTCTCTTGAACAATCACCATAAAAAACATGAAAAATGTTTTTAAATGTAATTATTATTAAACCATCTTAACTTTTGTTAATAATTAATAATATTTATAAATAATAATTAACTTGTCAATAAAAATAATAATAAAATTCATTAAAAAACACGTAAATATATTTATTATTATATATCTGAATGCCAATTATAAATAATGTTTTTTAAAAATTACATTAAAATATTATAAGTTCTATGCTTTATCTCAAAACATTCAAGAAAAATTTGTTTCATGAGTTTTAATAGTTCTAACCAAAATATTTTATAATCTAAATTAAGCTAAAACTGAACAAAAAATGCAAGATAAACCAAATTTCCTAAACGTATGTACTGATATGGCATGGCATGGTACTGATAAGTGTAATTAAACAGATGTATCACTAATAAATGGTTAGATCCTATAAGAGTATACAAACATACGCAATTAAGTTTTATATATATTATTATATATTATTGAAATACTATATATTTACTTTACACTCTATTTACTCCATTACTATATATTAACTCTCTATACATATACGCTGTTTTAGCTTTGAAACTGAAACCAAATAGTAGACGGTTTTCTAATTATATAATAACTCACAACATGGAACTATTGGCGTTCCATGCACTTTGTAATGCAAATGTCATATTAAATTTTAGCAAGATATAGTTTTTTTTAATCCTTAAAAATATTCAGAAAGTTCAATTTTCGTTTATTTCTATTAAAGTAAAAATTTTTCATTATTTATCTTTGCATCATCAAATTTTAACAATTGTGATGCTGTTCTTATAATTTAAAAGAAAATACATTTACTGCGAAAGAAATATCTTAAAAGTAATAGAAACAAAAAATATTAGTAAGTACATAACAAGCAAGAAAGTAAAAGTTGTACTTAAAAACTTTAAACTACTGAAGAACAAAATGTCCGCTTAGAAATTTTTTTATTAAACAAATACTTTATGCAATCCATGACGTTTACAATACATATATTCGCAGAGTAAGTACGCTACAAGCGATTAAGACGAAACTTACATATTATAAGTAAAATAAAAAAGGAGCAACTAATAACATCGAATTCTTAAACTAAACACTGAACAAGGCATTCAATAATAATCTTATTAAATCAAGATTTTTTATTATCTATTTTCAATTTCCTTATATACTCGTATGCAATAGTGTAGCATACAAATTTTGTCTTAAACGCATATTGATATATTTCTGTCTACTCTTATCTAACAACTTATAAGAAGACAAAAAAAGTTTCTTGCAGCGCATCTAAACTTTCTTAGTTAAAGAAACTTTAGTAAGCATTGAAAATCGCTGCTTTCACACCCAATTTGTAATATTATTTCATTTTTTTTAAACGTACAACTTTGTTCATCCTCACAAAAGTAGCTTTAAGTCGCGTAGAAATGTTTACTTTTTTATTCTCAGATACACTTGGAAATACAAACGCTGAGTAAGAAACAAAAACTAAAAAACATAAAGATATATTTCAAAACATTTTACGCAGCTGTAGAATATAGAAAAATTTATAAAACCAACAACAATAAAACAAGAAAGTGTTAACAAGTACATGGCCACATTAAGCACAAAGACAAAACTCTTGTCTAAATTTGCAGCAAAAATGCACTTGTGCGTATGAGTAACTTTTGTGCTGCATCTTAAGGACACTCTGCGTATGAGTATCGCACATTATTCACACAAAAATGCAATGCTTTTTTATTATTTTTAATCTTTTTTGCTAGATATGTATTTTTTAAATTTATATTTTTACATAATTTTTTTTTTTAATTAAAATTTTTATTTTTCATCACGATTTTTCTATTTCCGAATGAAAAAAGAGTTATAGAGAAAAAACACACATCCAAAACTTAATTTTCAATCTAGTGAAAGACGTTTGCTGATAGATATTTAGCAATATTCGCAACACCTGTATTGTCAACCAATAAATTATACTTAATTAAAAAATCTTAGTTTTTAATGTAATATACTACGTGTATAATTATTGTCTATTATTCTCATTTGTCTATTATTTGATCTATTATTGTAATTTATTTTTGTTTTACGTCACGAATTCGAAAGCTTAGTTTTCATATTTCATTTGCAAAATATTTTTTCTTAATATTTATCTTGTTTGCGTTTACTTGCATTTATTATTTAAATAAATTAAACGTTTATAGATTAGTAATCAGGCATGCACCGAGACTCGGACATCTAACTAACAATCTTTGCAGCATTTACTACGAGAACAAAAAATACCCTATACCTATTGGCCAATACTTTACAAAAGTGTCCAGAAAAATAAACTAATTAACTCTTGTGTAAGAATATATTTAAATGAGAAGATAATAATAACAGTCCTAGAGTAATAGAGCGGAAGTATAGACAGTTTATATGGAGTCTGCTATACAAAGTCAATTCTAAACTCAAAGCAGAGTGTGCAGTAGAAGGAGGTCGATGTACGAGGACATAGCAAACCCAAATCTATAGTAGGTAGTGGGACGTTTCGTAATAAGGGTCCTACAATAATGAAACAGAAGCAAAGGCAGTCCACGTGGAGTCTGATATACATATTCAAACTCAAACTGAAACCTAAATGTGCATCACAAAGCATACATCACAAAAGGTTTTTGTACGAGTCCATAAGAAAATCAAATCTTTACGAAATGGAACGTCTCATAATAAAAGTCCTAAACTAATGGATAAAAAACATTAGCGCATTACTTGGAGTCTGATATGCAGATTCAATCTTAAACTCAAAGATAAGACAGAAACAAAGTGAAATATTAAGAACTTTAATTTATTAATATAATTGAATAAGTCAATCATTACAGAGAAGTAAAAAACATTGACACTTTTAGAAATGTAGAATGAAAGATTCCCTCATCGTTTTCCTTCGTGCCCTTCGATTATCAGTATACGAGTCCAGTAACTCCAAAGTTTGTAAATAGACCTAAATAATCAGGATTAGATCAGTAGACTTTTTATTATCACATTGATTATAAATTGATTTACTAAATTCAATTTACAGCAGTCATGAAATAAATTTCTTCATTCCGCTCACACATAAAAGAAAGGAGGAATAATTTGTTATTCATCTACACAAAAAAAATAATAAAATAAAATAAGTAAATTAAAAAAAAAAAATTTAATAAAATGTTTACAATACAACAAATTTTTAATCTTAATAAAGAAACGTTAATAAAACAAAATAACCCCAACATATTCCATTTCTAACGCTCCAATAAATTACAATTTTTAGTGTATTTTTTAAATAACAAATTTTAAAATAAATCTTACTTAAATATTCTTTAAGTATTGTAAATACATAAGCTAAGATAGTAAATATTAAATTTTGTAATAACATTTTATAATCCAAAATTAAGTGATAAAATTTCAATAATCCCAAAAAAAAACCTTCAACATACTTAACAACAAAACCCGGTATATGGACAACTGTGTTTTTGTATGGCTTATTGAAAAATTTTATAATATTACAAATTTATAGCATAAATTCAGGCGTCTACAGCACAAATGCAGATTATGAATATGTGAACAAAATTTAGGTAATAAATTTATTATTATTTTGAATATTATGAGTTCGTACAGAAAATGTTTTAAAATATAAGCTACATAAACTTTTATGTTTTCGTATTTGTAAAATTAAAATAGATTAGTGCTATATAATATGTATTAACAATAAAATAGTTTTAACTAAAAAACTGTTAAGTACAGACTATTAATATAAATTAGGAATATTTAATAGTAGAACATGATACAGACAGTGTAAATTTTAGTAAACATTTCTCCATAAGTTTATAATATTTGCTGAAAGTAATAATATAAAATTAAAAAGAAATATATTTATATAATATAAATAAAGGTAATAGAAATCGTAATAAAGTCTTTTAAGCATATATGAGAAAATATAGTCTATGTTCCTTTTAAGAAACGCAAAATTATAGTATATAGGTCACTATTTTTCCAAACAAGTAATAGTAAAAAGCAAAAAACATGTATGTAATATTCAGACAAGTGTATTGTACAGATAAGGCTCAATTAAACCTCTACACTTCCTTTATGCATGCAATTAATACACAACTTAGCTCAATTGTACCAAAAAATACAGAAGTAGAAAGAAATAGCACCAAAAATGGCAGAAAATCAACTAATGCAAACTAACTGTACTAAAATCGTAGCATAAAACTTAGAACACGCTAGTTGGTCATGATCTAATAACTAATTATTTTATTACCTACATCAATTTTAATATTAATATATATAACAGTGTTTAAGGAGTACTAAAAAGGAAGACAATCAGTGATTAGACAGTTTTGAAATTTGTTTAATGCCATAACTACGATAAGTTAACGATAAGTTAACGAATTTAATTTTTAAACTTCTTTTACTAATATAAATAATATGTATTCAATATAATTTGAAATAAGTCCAAAAG